TTTGCTGAGATCCACCAGATTAGTGTGGCATAGGTTACTTTGGGCCTTATTACTATGGTATATGGCCAATGGGCTATTTTCGGTTTTAGTCCCCGAGATTTCCGTTCATCTTAACCCATTATGTTCATCACCATGGGAATGCCTTGATGGTAGGTAATGTCATGTTTTTAATATTACCTGTGACCCATATAATAACACTCTATCCTAAGATCTTCCTTGTTAATTTTTACGCTAGTGTTGAGATATTACATCATTATTATTCCAAGAGTCAACTAAATAAATGCAAATTTAAACTTCTGAGCTGAGCCTTTATACTAATTTGTCAGATCCACTCGGGACTGCGAACTATTCACATCTCGTGCTGAATGTATTAGTTTGTAAGTTTTATATTTAGAATTTTTAGAGTTTTTTTTGAGTTTTAAAAAACACGGTTTCTCATCGAAAGACTGACAGTTTTACATATAGATTACATTGTAACGAAATAAGCTCTGAGCTCTTTCTCCCTTTAGGGCTGGGCCACGCTCCATTTGCCTTGCGGTAGGGCCACTTGGTCGGATGATGGTTTTAAGAAGAGTTACGTACTTTGTAAAAGTAGAGATGCACTGAACAACATAATTTATTATTTCAAAAATCTTATTAAACAGAATATCAAGCCAATTTCATTGCAACATTCTACATTATTTCTTATTTTCAAAAGCTGGACTTGTAGACGCAACTTGTGCACACGTATACATTTTATGAGTGAATTGAATTTATTCTTGTACGCCCAATATAAAAGAGGAGAATATAAATTTTATTAAAACACGAGAGATACATAACAGCTGTAAACGTAGTATTTCCATACATTTCTGATTACAAAGCAATATAGGATTGTATTTACATTTAGAATAGTTGTTCGAGTGTGTGTTGGTAGTATTTTTTGAAGCCAAGCCGCACAGGCGCTGTTATAATTTTTTTCTCCCGTTTAAAATGGAACTTGGAAAAATTCCAGTTGCGAGACAGGAAAACCTTTTATTTTCACCGGTTTGAATTTTACATAAGACACACGTCTGCGATATGGGGGTTTTGTAAGGAAGAAGCGGTCGGGACTTTGGTGAGGTACGGATGCCATATTTCCTGCAGGTGGACTGCACCCTCCTGCAAACCCTATTTACAACTCTACCACCCCGGCACAACTTTACACCCGTTTAACACAATTACACCTTTATGGAATTATAGTCGAGTCGAAGGGAGGGAAGCATAAATCTTGAGTTTACGCCGCAACCACCCTGCGACCTGGGCGATAGATAACATTCACCGGTTAAGACTCCCTGATGAATTGCGGATCCGACATTTTTATCCCTTACTCTCCCAACTTTTACTTATTTGACTTTTCCTCTTTAAAAGAAAATCTTCAAATCTGTTTGAGGTTTGTTTCAACATAAAAAATCTGGTCATTTTTAGACATCTAGCAACAACACATATCATTTTCCATTATACAGTTGAAATACTTTTATTTGTAAAATGAATTTTGTAAAAAGAAAAAATTTCTTCTAAATTAATATCGATAATCATTTATACCAAATTGAATATTTGATATTGCAAACAATTATAAATAAATAATTAAGTAAATCGCTAATTTCACCATTAAAATATACGGTAATATTAATAATAACTCTTTGGATATCTTTCAAATAATAGTGTTATTTTTCAAACTTGATTTACGATTAACATTCTAAAATACACAATTTTACTTTGGATTTTATAATGATATTATTAACTGTATGTCTATGTTTAATAAAATAAACTTTGGGATTTTAAACTATCACTTTTTGACTTGTGAATTGGGAAAAAACAGAAAATAAGGAAACCAATATCAGTTCAACATAAAAAGTACTGATCGTTTTCTAAAGACAGTTGAATGAAAAAATATTTAGAGAAAATACGGGCTTTGACAAAATTACCAATTGATACACTTGAAATCGTTCTAAATAATGAAAAATTATACAGAAACTTTTAATGCTCCTAAATAATATTTTTTTATGTTGTTAAATCAACCACTTCAAAGCGTATGGCGTATATGAACATCACACCTCCTATCATTACATTCTATTGCTATTGTACAAGCACGAAGATAATAGCAAAGTTAAAAATTATAGAGGTTTTTTGTCCAAGTTAATAGTCAAAATTTTTACAGCACTAGTCTTGTATCGATTGAATAAATTTGTAAATGACAACCAGTCCAACGAATTCCAGGCTGGATTTCTTGGAGAAATCATATTTGGATTGGTAAATAGGTTATATTTTTATTTTTGTTCGAACAAGTACGATTAACTTAAAAAAACCCACTGTCGTTCTGTTGGTATAGGCTTAAATGCCGTGCTCCGTGCAAAATGATAATTTTTTTTTTAAAGCTATGCACCCAAAGCTTCTATTCTTACGTTTTTGTATTCTTGTGTACTAAATTCACTATTTTTCGTCGTCTGCTTGACCAATTAATAACATTCAATTAATTAAGGTTTTAAGTTGTGATATAAAAGTCAGTGTCACGAGCGGGATTCGAACCCACGATCTTCGGCTTGATACGCCGCTACTCTACCACTTGAGCTATCGTGACTTCTATCCCCTCGAGCATTAACTTCCCATCTCAACCCCACCTTTTTATCTCAACTTAAAATCTTAATTAATTGAATGTTATTAATTAGTCAAGCAGACCACGAAAAATAGTGAATTTAATGAACTGAAATGAAGTAGACTTCACTAAAGTTCTCCGTGGCCATTTCATTTGTCGCCGAGAATCCAATCCGATTACACGACATTTGAAAAATGGCAAAAAGGTGGGGTTGAAATGAGAAGTTATTGCCCGAGGGGATCGAAGTCACGATAGCTCAAGTGGTAGAGTAGTGGCGTATCAAACCGAAGGTCGTGGGTTCGAATTCCGCTCGTGACACTGACTTTTTTATCTCAACTTAAAACCTTAATTAATTGAATTCTTTTGTACCTTCATCAATATGTCATGCTTTATTTATTAGATAGTTTGATAGTTCTTTCCATTCTATATCAAATGATATCACAAATACAAAAATTCATCTTTTCTTTCTGAAGATATTGAAATTCCTTCATAACCGGTCAATTTCAATTTATCATGGGACTGATTAAAAAAAGGAGGGTTAAAAGTGGGTTACTGATCAAAAAATAACCCTACCGTTGATACGAAAGGTCATGATATCAAACTCCAACCCATATTAACAACCTGAAGCTTCATTCCTGACATCTGTTTAGCTTTCATCGATACAGATCTAACATAGTGCTTTTCTGACCATGGCATTACTCGACTTTTAGATACTTTATATATCTTTGGAAAAAGAATTTGATTTCTACACGTTTTGGTGATTTATTTCGTACTTTGTCAAGTATGAATTCTTTAACGTGACTAAATTGTCAATGCTGGATTTTTTCCGCCAATAATTCACTTTATTTTCAACAAAGTAATTACGCGTTCTGAATACTCTTTTTTATTCAGAAGAGAAGGATTATAATGATTCAAATTTGGAAAGAAAAAACATCTTTTATCAAGGCAAAGTAATTAACCAGCATTTTTTGTATGATTTATTAGCTCTCGGGAAAAGTAGAACACAAGTGAATAAAAAAAAGGAGGGGCAAGACCTGGGCACTGTCTCACCAACTGTAGACTTACGAAGTCTCTCTCCCCATTTCGTTCTAAGTTAGTCTCAAGGAATTAACGTAAGGTGGTATGCACAACTTTTTAAGAAATGGGATAAGTTGCCGGTTGAGAATGAGAAGATGGTGGAACTGGGTGAAAAGTGTAAATTAGAAACATGTTAACTTGGCCGCGTAATGTTTATTACATTAGACGACGGTGAGAGGAGAAGGAAAAAGGGTGGTGGATCGTAAAAAAACTGTCTTAGTTAATTACTCTAGACACGCACTTCTACTCTATAATATTTACGATATAGCCCACCTCATTTTCATCACACCTGAGGTTAATTTTTTTAGAAAAATACATTATTCAAAACTTATCTCGCGGCCGACCTCTTTCTTTACAATCATATTTAAATTAAAACAAAAAATCAGAGAGGTAATGTAAAAAATATTAAACTCAAAAATTCAAAAGGTTCATTTGGGCTGAATCTTTCTGGAACGAATTTTTCCGGATTTGGAAAGTAAGCCGGGTCATTCTGAATTCCTCTGGTTGACACGA